TTCCTTTCTATCATTTTTACTCTGCTATGTGGGTTGATGTTTCAAAGAAGTTTAACTAGTTGTCATTTGTGTTGCAGGAGCATCTACAATTTCTCTACATTTTCGTTCAACATTGCATTGATATGGAAGAAATAATTGAATCAACAGAAGAAGATTCCCACTCTGACCTAAATCAATACTCTTCGTAAAATACAAATTGTACAATTTCAAATTCGTTCTTATATCTGTAATTGACACAAGGTTAACTTAGCTAATTATATAAGATACAATTAGGAACAGACTAAGCACAAAGTTCAAATAACAAATAAGCTACCATCATAAAATTTGACAAAGAAAAATTTAGCAAAGATGACGGCAATAAAGACATGAAAGTAACTAATAAAACTAAGAATTATTTTTTCTAAAATACCCATTCATGTTGGCTGGAGAAACGAGAGGAATACAATTTGGTAGCGACAATCTTATTAGCAGGAAAAGTTATATTGAAAACTGATTTTAGTTGCTAAAATTTGAATACGATTTGAAGGTGAACATATTCGCAAAAGACGTATTAAAATATTATACTCAGAATTTATGGAGATATAAAGTAAATTATTCGAAATTGGGATTCCTAATTTAGGTTAGCTATAATGTAGTGACCAATTCAATTATTAATTTCACATAACCACTTGTATCAATTTTAAATGAGAGAAATCAATCGTAATGACAAATTTTCAGTCAATTGAGATTGAAAAAATGGGTTTACATTCGAGACTTCATAGAGAAGTATTTATGCAAATCTCAAAGTAAGAAGTCACTAAAGTAACTGAACATAATAAATCTATTATATAAAATGAATGCTTTAAAATATTACATGGATATTTAAGATAAATCATAATATAGTTAACTACCTCGTCATCACTATCATCAATCAATACAGTGAAGGTCATAATAGTCATTTACGCATAGCCCGAGGGAAAATGAGCAAGAGGGGTGTTTCGTCTAACAGGAGATCCACAAAAGTAGAGTCTGAAGCAACGAAAAAACCAAAACTCGATGAATTGCTGAAGCAATGGGTAAATAGCTAAAATTTTTTTAATTTAAATCGTCTATATTTTGACTTTTTATCAAATAATTACTACAAATATTGATAAGTTTATTATATTTCTTTTGTTGATCTATTTTAAGATTTCAGTTTTATTTATTTGTTTACCTCATTTTGTCAATTTTAGGATGAGCTTGATAAACAGGAAGAATTAAAGAACCAGGAAGTAAATAATGAAACAAAAGATACAGATTTGAGTAGATCATGCCCTTATTTGGATACAATCAATCGTAATATGCTCGACTTTGACTTTGAGAAGCTTTGCAGTGTTTCTCTTAGTCATCTCAATGTTTATGCTTGTTTAGTTTGTGGTAATTACTTCCAAGTAAGTAATTTCGCTTAATCCCCCCCCCCATGCCTTTACTTGCTTTCATTTAATTTTGTTGTTTTCCTGTTTAGGGTCGGGGTCCCAATACGCATGCTCATACTCATAGCGTCAATGAAAACCATCATGTATTTCTCAACCTTGAGACCCATCGCTTCTATTGCTTACCCGATAACTATGAGATTGTCGACGGATCGTTAGAGGATATCACATATCTTCTGAATCCTCTATTTCAGAAAGATGTCATTAAGAGCCTGGATACCAACTTGGGTATGGTTAGAGCGTACAATGGGTTAACATACTATCCTGGATTTGTCGGCGTGAATAATATAAAGGTCGGTTCTCGCGTAATTTAAAATTTCCTGGAGTTATTTTAGCATTGACGATTTCCCTTTTAAATGGTAGGCAAATGACTACTGCAACGTTATCATTCAACTCTTGAGCCACATTAGTCCATTGAGGGATTTCTTCTTGCAACCAGAAAATTATCAGGAACAGATTAAACGCGCGGCCGCTGGGGACCACATGACTCTTCTCGTGCACAGATTTGGGGAACTCATTCGAAAGTTGTGGAATCCACGGAATTTCAAGACCCATGTCTCACCTCATGAGTTTTTGCAGGTTAGTAAATATGCAATTTTATTGATTTTGTGCTTGTATAGCATTTTTATTTCTTTATATTACCACTTTGGAAACATAGTTTGATTGTCGTATAATTTACTGCTTTAAGTCTATCATTTGAGCAATTGCTAACCTCACTCTATTTATGTTGCCTTATTACATTAAATTGTTTGCTTTGAGGTAATTTTCTTTTTTTAATCTCCTGTAAGTGTGTTGATAATGTAGCGCAAATTCACATGAATTATTAATTCGTTTGCGGTTCAACTCACGATCCGTAAATATCCCGAAAAAATTCATTTCGATTTACTATTTAAGGTATAAATAATGGAATGCCAACTTTAGGATATTTCCTATTTGTCCATAATCCTAAGTTGTACTTTTCGGTTCTTTAAAGGTAGGCTTGAGGAAATGGCTTGTGTATGCTTGTTAATTTTTACAGTAATGTACACTTGTTCCTTTAGGCTGTTGTATTGTGCAGCAAGAAGCGTTTCCAGTTTACGGAGCAAGGTGACGCTCTGGAATTTCTCTCCTGGCTACTGAATGCTCTCGATCAAACACTGAAGCCTTCAACAGCTGCTGAAGGACGAGTTGTCAAGCCAACAATCATTGGTAGCACTCTTCGCGGTCGAATGGTAATTCATAGCCAGAAGGTAATGCCGGTCAACCTTACTCAAGTGCAAAAAGAACAGTACGAGAATAATCCTGAATACATGGTGAGCATTCAGATACATTTTATAATAAATGTTTTGCCTTATCATGCGCTACCTAATAGGACCTATTAAAGTCTGGTATTTTCAATCCATATATTACTATTGTTCGCTAATTTATGCTTCTTTTTATTTGTAGCCCCACGTTATGGAGTCGCGTTTTCTCTACTTAACTTGTGACCTGCCTCCAGCACCTCTCTACTTGGACGAATTCAAGGAGAGTATAATCCCCCAAGTGCCACTCTCCACTCTTCTGACCAAATTCAACGGAGTGACAGAGAAGGAATACAAGACACACTGTGACTCGACAATGCGTCGCTTCTGTCTCAAAAAACTTCCGCCCTACCTCATTCTCTACATGAAACGCATTCTCAAAAACATCTTCACGCTGGAGAAGAATCCCACTATTGTTAATTTCCCCATTAAGAGTATCGATTTCGGGGAACTGCTTGATAATGAGGCTAGAGCACAGCACAAGTAAGTTATCGATCTCTTTATTCACTTAGACGGGGCCTATAGCTTTTCCATCTTGTACTTTTGTTGTTCTAAAGTAATGTTTATTTGAACCTTCTCTCGAGATTTTCTGTATTTTTTCACTTTTTCTCAAAAATAGTGTCGTAGATCCTTCGTGACCTTTGGAGGGAATGACGTTTAATTATTGTTATAAGTCAAAAAAATGCAAATTTTTTAGAAGGAATAGTGGAGTGGTTTAGATAAAATGTAAAGGGATGATGTGCCGTAGAAACGGAACATAAAAGATAAGTCATTAAAGTCCGAAACCCTTAAATTATTCATTACTCGATAAGTACTTTTTCATTATGACTTAACGGTTTGTAGAGGAAAACTCGAAATCGACTCTTCTGTGCTTAGAACTAATTGGTAGGTAGGACTTAGAGGTCTCGCTAAGTATTTCTCAATATTTCTAAAGGGGAATTAGTGGGTGCTAATAAAGTGATCATTAAAGTTTACTTAACAAGAGGTTGACGTAAAGAATCACTAGTCCAGTTTACAATAGTGTCTAAATTGTTACTTATCTTTTGCTTTAGGTACACAATTTATGACTTGGTTGCAAATGTGGTACACGATGGACCAGCCACACCAGGGGCTGGAACTCATCGAATTTTCGTGCTACAGCGTGGAACTGGCAAATGGTTTGAGATGCAGGATTTGCATGTCCAGGAGATTCTACCACAGATGATTCCACTCAGTGAATCACTTATTCAGGTAACGCTGCTCGCATTTTCTATGTTCCGCCTCGGGCGTAAAAGTTTTATGCATGAAAACTCCACTGTAATCCTTTATTCCGGGTAGCTCTTATTTTTTCGTACAACATCCAAATATTTATTTATTTATTTCAAATGGCGGGCTTTATGAC